GTACATGTCAATTATTATGGCAATTAGAACGAGATACAGATAGTATTGATAAATTTAAATTATTTTTTAAACGAGATCATTTAAATGTCGATTGGGATTATGTACAAGGTTCTAGTGAAGTTTAAATTCAATAACTTTTATGAATCGTAAAAACACTACATATCTTTTTTTTTTTCTTCAGTTGTTTAAATATATGTAATACGGTCTTTTTATTAGGAGAGAAAGAAAAAATGATACATTTATGATCAAATATTTGTAATTAAATATTTGAACCAAACTATAGACAAACAACGTGAACTGGAAAGAATATTTAACTTGGATTTTTCTGTTGCATCTAGGAAAAATAATATGATTTATAGTGATCTATGCTTACTATCTATTACTTTATTTAACAAATAATAAAATCGATTAGTTGACACTCTCAAATTCTTGATAAAGTAAAGTCACTATTGTAAGTACTAAAAAAATGAACTAAATTTTATCTCACTACATTTTAGATGTTCACAGATCTAAGGGATAAAAAGCAATAAAAATACATTATGAAATACGAATTTTTAACATAAACTTAATTTCTAATACATTCTCATGCCCGATGAGACTTCAAGAATTATGTATAACATCTGGAATGTTTCAATATTTAGTTTTTTTTTTGCAAATTTGTGCACCACTGTAGTTAATAATGATACGCTTATAAATGATAGATTTATCTTTTTGATAATCCTATTTTTTCGTATTGCTTGTAATGCTAAAAATCTCGAAATTATCAATACTATGAAAAATTCATAATTATTTCCGCTTCAGAATTTTTTCCATGTTATCGAGTACATTCTATATTGATTTTTTCCTATTATTTGCATGCATCTCTCGTTAATATAGATGTTCTTTTTCGCCATAGAATCTTCCTGTTATTACTTTTCACTTATATATATATTCATTTCGTTACCCTTTCTTCTTCGTGATTATAACTGATGATTTAACGTATGTACGTAATTTGTCTTGTTAAATATAAGCTGAACACAGATTTTGAAATCATACCACTTACAGAAATTAGTGATTGAATAAACAGAGAATAATAAGCTATAAAATTTCAATATGTCGAAGCGAAAAAATATAATGTTTAATTATGTTCGTTGAAGAAAATTCAGGTTGCATTGCACGATGGTCCTTTTTTTTGAAATACGATCAATTTTCTTCAATAAATCATTATATCAAATAATCAGTTTTTATCCATTCTAACTTTGATTCATTTATAAATTTGTTTTTGTTTAATACACTTGATCATGTAGCTGTTACAATCGTTAGACGTCTTCATTTTCTTTTCCTTTTTTTTTTTCACTAATAAAACAAATAATAAAATTACAGACAAGCACATTGCTTAACAATAACATCTTTAATTGGATATATTCCCATAGATCCATCTATTTGTCGAAGAAGAAAATTATCATCAGCAAATTGTGATGGTACACAATTTTGTTGAGGAATATTAGAATATTTTTTACTAATAATTGATTGTATTAATGCATAAATAGATGATTGTTGTAATTGTTGTTGAAATGTTAAATTTGTACATGAACCATCACAGTAAGTAAATGTATATTCTTTTGGTCTAATTATTAAATAAGCTAAACCGAGTTCTTCAAATTTAATTTGAATCGTTTTTATTTTACATATTGTTGTTGTTGTTTGTTGAAAATTATATGAAGATAATTGATTAGATTTTACTGATGATATTATTATATATGTATGTAATGTTTGACATGTTTGATTATTAATAATTGTTTCAATAATTAAATTTTGTTTATTTATTTTTGAAAGATAATCATATATATTAAGAAAATAAAAATCTCGAACAGAATCAAAATATAAATATGTATCAATGGAAAATAATTCAATAAATGTTTGTGATTGTTTTATTGAAATATGTATAGGTATTGAAGATTTTTTTATTTCAATTGAATCAATATGATAAATAAGTTCAACAGAAGATAAGGATTCTATTGAATGAGACCATTGAAATGTTGATTGAACTTGATTATTATTTAATATTAAGCAATTTGTTGAATGTAATGTAAAAGTTGGAGTTAAAGAGAATGATTTATTAGTTATAGATCTACGTTTTCGATTTTTAACTAGAAAATAAATTAAAGAAATTTCCAAAAATAAAAGAAATATTTATTAAAATACAAACTTTGTTCTAATTTCGTTGTTAAATGATGATTTATAATCATTGATTGAATAAGTGCTGAATGAGAAATATTAAGTAAATCAATAAAATACTGTCTAAGAAAAAAATTACGATAAGAATTATTTGATATTAATTCAAAATGATGATAAGTTGATGATGATAATGTTGTTATTGAAGCGGCATATGTAGAAGAAAATTTTAAAATAATTAAAAGAAATAAAAGAAATTTCCAAGAAATTTTTATTTTATATATAATATTAATAAAATTTGTTAATAAAGATTCTTGAAACATTACACTTTTTTAATCATTAGAAATAAACAACTGCTAGAATGCTGTCGTTGTTATTGTTGTTGAAAAAATTTTATAAAATTAAATCTGTATTCATTATGAAAATAATAATATATATATCAATGGGAATTAAATTTTGAAAAGAACCAAAATTCTTTAATGTTTTTTATAGAAAAAGAACATGTCTATACTACTAATATATAAATGGTTATGAAACAAAGAAATTTAATATTTTTGTCTGAAGAAAAAAAATATAAAGTATGAAATGGGAAATCTCCTACGCAAAAAAAAACGTCTATTATAGTTTAATTTTATCACATATAAGGAAGAATCTATCTGATGTATCTGTGTGCAATAATTCAAAGACAGAAGAAAAATATGCCATAGAAACATATTTGTATTTGTCGGCTGAGAACGACGAGACGACTAAATATTTAAGAAGAAAAATAGTAATGTACTTTAAGGTTTGAACTATGATCATAAATAATAAAACTAATATAGTCCTTCAACACATCCCAACAATATTGGACATAATATTTTTTGATATTTTGAGATTAACACTCTTACAAAATAGAATAAACAAGAACAGAGTTTCGTAAAAATGTACATGTTTCGAAAGAAATGAAAAGAAAGATGCAGCCCTAATTTATAAGTCAAATGATAATAGTTAGTTTCATACATGTTATCATTTATTATCTACTTTCTTTGATGTATATTGAATGAAACCGTGGCCAATATTATTCTTTTTTTTAGTTTGTTTTAGAACATAAGAAAACGATATCAAAAAAATACTGTTATTCATTTTCTTTTATCGTTTGTATTCTTATATAAATTTATCGAGGGCATTGACAGTTGAAAAATAATACTTTATCAGTATGTTTAAAGTTAATTCTAAAGTCTACAAAATGGTAAGAGAAAGAAAAATCATTGACTTATATGTTTAGTTGTATGTGTAAATTTTTTTAAAAATTCATTATTATTTTTTAAAAATTAATTTTTACGCTTGTACAGTTTTCATATGAGAAATATAAAACGTGTGGGAATGTGTATTCTCAAGACAAATAAGTAATTTTCATCATACATTAAATAATTGAAAATCAGTCTGGAATTTGAGTCTTTGTTGGTATTCGTCTATGTATTTACAGTGGTCGACTCAACTGAATTCCTTCCTTTGTTTTTCTTGCTTAAGACTACTGTACTTTTTTTATCCATAATTGATATGTACTGAGAAAGTACCAACTTCACTGCATCGCTTGATATATTAATAATAAATAACACGTAAAGTTCCGAGAACAAAAAACAATAGATCAGAAAAAATATATGGTATAGGTTTTTTTTTACTACAATGTACAATACCGTTAAAAGCCCTAGAGCAATCTGTCAATAGTGAGAGAAACTTGATCATAAGAATGGTGACTCTGAACCCTCACCATGCTTGTACTAAAGTTTAAAACAAGAAATCTTTTTTTTTCTTATACAGATACAGAATGTCCCTTGGAAAGCACATTCGACTTTTGGTGGTTAAGCAAGAAAAACAAAAGGAGAAAATTCAATTGAAACGCACAGTATACATCGTTGAACCGATTTTTTTAAGGAGTACTTAAAAAATAAATCAGAGGTAAATTTTTTTTTCGTGTTTTATTTTATAGATTATAAATAATTTCTAAATATTGAATAATGTTGAATAATATTCTTTGTTCATAAAAAGAACCAGAGAAATGTCTAATTATTTATTTCTATGTAAAAATAGTCATCCGTAAATGATTAAAAGATAAAAACAACTACATTAACCAATCTTGTTTCATGACAAAAATATTCATTTAATGTTTTTGAAGTTTCAAAGCAAATCGAAAAAAAAACATGGAAAATCTTTGCATCAATTGCATTCATTAAGTAGGAGCATTTTTCTTCAAGGCAATACGTAATTCTACTTTCTTGAAAGTGAGTAGTGAGTTACAGTGTTAGAATTCATCGGATTCAAAATTTTCGGACGCGAAATCGGATTCGGCCGAGTTTAGAACTAACTCAAGGAGTTCTACTAGATGTATAGATTAGAATAAATGATATATTTCAGATAGGAATTCTCGTCTTGTTCTGATTTCTTAATGTTTTATTTATATTCAATCGAAAAAGTTTCCAAATCAAAATTTTAATAAAATGTTCAATCAGAAAAATCAAAATGTTCCTGTTTCTCTTAATACTCTATACTAATTGTTCATGCTCATATATGCGTACGAAAGATTCAATATTTCTTTTACATAATGGACATATTTGAAGAGAATGACCACAAGAAATACACAAAGCTAAATGACCACAAGGTATGCCCGCAAGACACTTCTCTTCTTTCCAACATATGACACAAAAATTCCATCGTGGTGGTGATTCATTTTGTTGATCACCCACATTCGTTTCTCTTCTGATATGTTGTGATGAGGTTGCCATTTCAATATTAGTGTTATCCTGAGAGTTTGATAATACTTTTGCATGAGCCAAGTTTTCTGCAAGATTATGTAACTGAACTATCGATCATATATAAGTTGAACTACAAATATCTGTTTGTTCTCGTAGACGAATCTCGTTCATTTTTATATTCGGAATAATAATCTTTTCTTTCTTATTATCAATACGTTCAATTTGTTTTTGAAGAATCATGCAAGCTACTAGAAGATCGGAATCATCAGCAAAATCATCATCTGACATAGGAGTTAAATAGAATTTCATTTATTTCCTCTCTAAGGAATGAAAAACAAACAACCATCTTACGTTTTAAATCGAATTGATCTTTACAACAACGTTTGATGATTGATAAGTGGAAACCTTGAGCAATTAAATTTTGCGAGATCGATAAATCAAGACGACTTCTAATATGAGATGAGATAGTGACTTCATCATCCTCATCATTGTCATGTCCTAGAATGAAATAATATCAATTTCTTTCATGTTTCTTTATCAAATAGTCTATACTTCCTTCAACTTGTTGAATTTCTTGATACAGCTCTGGACTACACAACTCTTTAGCAAATGCACAATGTGGAAACCATCGAATATGTTCAACGATTGGATTTTCGTTTGCTCCGAAGTTCTGTAATGATCCATTACAATAAAAACATGTCACAATAATTGTATTGCCAGTACAAAAAAACCCAGCCTTCACCAGATCATCAACAGACGGTAAATTTTCATTCGACCATGTAGCAAAAGAAGCATGACGCATAGGAATTTCAATATAATTTGTATGGCATATAGCAGGGTCAACAATCTTATTACTCTGACATGTATTATTATTTGTTGTCACTATAGGGGTATCTATCATGACCTGTTCATTAATGATATGAACTGATGATATTGATTGATTCTCTAACATTGAAATAGCATATGGACATTTAGGAGAAAGTGTTTTATGTATTTGACATGGATCATCTGTATGTGGTGTCCATTTTTGACAAATAAGATTACAACATAAACAAATGACACGATCATCAACATTACAATTGAAGAAACCAGCTTCAATCATTTGTTGACTTGAAGGTGATGTTCTATGTGACCAATGTGAAAAAGTTCGTTTTCGTATTTGCTTTATTTTGTCAATTTCGATAAATCTATGTGGCTGACAAATAACTTGTGTTGCTTCAATTTTTTGATGTTTAGATGACTTTTCATCATTTATTAACACCGAATTCATTTCACGAAGATTTATCGTTAATGATTTAGGAGTCATATCATCAAATAGAATTGAGCGAACAAATGCACATTTGGGGCTGCGTTGTGCATGAATAGCAAATGGCTTCATATCTAACGCCCATCCAGATACTTCTAATTCACAAGTATCACAACGGACTGTATCACCTATACTTGTATAATAGAACCCAGCAGAAGCCATACTTATAATAGTATGCACGCCTTGTCTTTGTAATAATGCTCTACATGTTTGTACTACTTGGCACAAAAGGTCAGCCTTTTTTGAACAGATAGATTGTAAAAAACTATTTGGCCTTTTTACTGAAGAGATGATAGGAGAATATGGTATCGTTGAACTTGAAAAATGGTCATTGACAAACTCTTGACTAAAACTGCCTTGTGTATGAGAACGCTTCATTTGAATCATTTCAAAATCTTCTAATTATATAGAAAAAAAAAAGTTTTAGCTTTAAAATTCTATGTGGTGATTATATTTTCCCACGTTTGACTATTTGGTTCGATTCAAACAAGAGTACAATGAATTCTTTTTTTTTGAACTGTTTTACCTATACATTTAGTGAAGATGTAAATATATATTATGAAAGTATAATTCCATCTTACCAAATCTATGATTGATTTCTCGTTTAGAAAATATTTTGTATAACTAATTTTTATTCTTCTTGTTTATTGACGTCAGTGAAATTTTTTTTCTAGATTTAGTAATGTTTCGTTAACAAACGTAACTGTAGCAACCGATATATAAAATGTCGACAAAGAATTCTAAAGTACATACATGGATTATTCACTTCATGTTTTATTATTTTTCTTCTTTACAATTTATTTGTAGTAGAAAGATAAAAAGGAAGTCATGAGTATGAATTTTTGTTTCCAACTTTTCATTGTTAAAAAACATTCTAGAGAAAAGAAGAAGTAAATTACGTATATCTATGAGTCACAATGACGTGTTTACATATTATCTACAATTGGTTGACGTCAGCTTCGTTAACAAAACGTCAGTAAGTTTAAAAACAAATTAAATGAAAATGAAGAATCAGAATTAATTATACAAAAATATAATTAACATTTTTCAATGCTCACTAGTAAATTAGAATGCAGAAAAGATGTTGCGTAGGCACTAAATTACAGGCAAAGCAAATATTTTCATTTCATAGTATGTGAAAAAGTATGACGTCACGTACAGTGCGAGAAAAATCCAACCAAACAGTACGATAAAGTCGACAAGATGAAGTGGAAAAAAATGGTTATTAATATAAAGGTAAAGGCTGTTATTAATGTCATTGCAAATAATGGTTGGAAATTTCCAAGAGCTGCAGTCGTTTCGTGCATTGATTTAAATGAGTGTATACAAACGATAATAGAAACTGCATGTTGTAGAATATTTTTATATAAAGCCCTTTCCATGCATGATAACATATGAATAACAATGATCGAAATTTGAAAAAAAATTGAAAAGTTAGGGTTTTTAAGAAGTAAGAAAATAAAATGAAATTCTAATTTCTATGGAATAAAATCTTTGATCTTCACATCAAATAATAAAAGATTCTTGTTACTCTTAAAATAATATATTATCATAGACTTTTGTTGTCATTCTATTCGATATGTATTCAATCAATGTGTTCTTATTTATCTATTTTTTAGATGAGTTATTAATTTCGATAGATATTTGTCACATGGTTTTTTTTTGCCAATCATATTACTTCATTTTGAAAATAACTGTTCTTTCATTCTTATGTTTCGTATTGCTATATTGTCAGACCTTGTTCTTTTATTCTATGCATTATAAAAAACGTATGTAAACTATAAACTAAACACAGCTGAAGTTGTGCAATAAAGTAATAGACATTCATGTCGATAAGGACTGTTGCATTCGAGCTCTGAGTTGTCGGTACACATCGGAGTCGAACTTCTTTCTCTTATTTACTATCTGAGAATGTTATGGGGATTTAGTAGATGGGAATATTTCATCTCTGTTTATCGTTTCGATAGGAAATAATAATAAAGAAAATTTCCAATCTCCCCTGACCGTTTCTAAGTACATTCTTTTTATTAGTGTCAAGACACAAAAAAAATGTCGACTTCCCTATATATATATATAGAGATGTGTAAGTATCGCGACATTCTCGAGAAGCACTACGTACTTCCATATCACGACACAGATATAAAAGGTTAGTTATACGAGCAAATTTTTCTTTTAATTCTTTAGTAATTGAATTCAACTTTCATGTTTGGTATTTATGACGGATTCGAATGTACAGAAAAGAAAATATCATAAATAAAGTTTGATTTCGTTTGAGATTTAGTCGGACTTTTGATTTCTTTTAGAAAAGGTTTAGTAGCTTGTTTTTTTGTTTTATCAATGTTTGTTGAAGAGATCATAAAGCAGATTATACGGAAGATAACGGAATAGAGGACCATATTCATTGAAGTCGACTCTCATCATTATCCACATCTTCGCCCTGACATCGACCCCATCCTTATAAACGATAGTATTCATCTGTTGTTATTTTTCTTTCATGCATTTGTCGTAAGTGCATTTCATTTACCTTCAACCTTTTTCGTTCTATGTCATATTACAAAGTATTACATTTTTTAGTTAACTGTTTGTTCATAACGGATTGGGAATCTAATTTTGTTTTTCAATTGATTAACACCGTCAGAAATAGTTTTCTTTTAATCAAATCTTTTGTTTTTTTTGGTACCGTCAAACACGTTTCACATCATTTGTAGATACTATAGGTAAATTAATCTTAATGGCATGATGATTATTTTCAATAGAATCAAATTTTTTTTCGATTTTTTACGTCTTAAAGTAAGATAAATCTTTCAAGTAAATTCTTTTTTATTCAATTAAATTTCGCTTAGATATAAATCATAAATGTTTTAACGTTAAACAAATGATTTATCTTATTTTCATTACACAAGATAATTAAAATGACTTAAAAACAAAACAATAGTAAATCTACGAGGAATATTCATGTTATTGAATTCAATTAGAATGTTTATATAATCTCAACAATTATTCAAAGCATTGACTTAGAAGATTTTATATGTAAGCATAGTTTTAAACTTCTAATAAAGAGAAATACGAATAATACTATAACTTTTAATTCATATATAAAAATATCAGAACATTCATTTGAAAATGATAATTTAGTATTAAATATTCGTGAATTTTATTGTATCAAGTAAAAACAACAAACTAATCAATTAACATTCACGAAGAAAATAATTTATGTTTTTTACTTTTTTTGTATATGCTATGCTCATACAGAAAAATTGCTTCGTCATATATGACAAGGTGAGATACATTTCCGTTTTACTACAGTACGTTGAGTGAAATTTTTTAATGGGAAATTCATCTATATTTTGCACTATCATCATGACTGGATCTATCTGATGTATATAATCATTCGTCATTCTGCGTTATTAATATTTATATCATTCAATCGAAACCATTACATTGACGTTTAATTACCATATTTTTTTCCGTTTAATTCATAATAGATCTATTTTTATTTTCAATTAAATAGTCTTACATAGTGTAGGAATTACATTAAATTATTCCAAACTATTTATAAAAATCACATTCAAACCGAATTATAATATGTAATATAGATTATAATTCAATTTTGTTGTAATTTCATATAATATAAGCCATATATTATTAGAAAAAAAAAACGATTTCTCGTTAATTGAATTCGAAGATATTTTTCAAATATTCGTCTGAGAAATATTTCGATATATCCTTATGCGCAATATAAATGACGTACGTAATATTTTCAATTACTTTTTTTATGTTATATAGATCGTTTTGGATTTATATTGACATGACTATATCTGCTCAGTAGATTTCAAAAGTTTCAGCGGTACACATTGAAAAAATTACAATAATAGTTATTGTTTTGACTCTTGTGTAACCTTCAAGAAAAATTTTTTGTTCTTCTTTCATTGTTTGTTAATGTCAACATTTTCATAATGAATATAGTTTTATAGGTTTTGACCAAAAATATTTCCAATATAGTGAAAAGGCAATAATATTCTATTTATTTTGTAAATATTGAGGCTAAAAAAAAACATAAAGATAGAATAAGCATAAAAAGGAATAAACGAGTCATAGTTGTAATTTTCTCAATTATAGCTGAAATTTTTGAAATATACTGAAGAAAAAGTCATGTATTTTGTTAGCATGAATATTAGTTGAAAAAATTACCCGGCTCATTTATTTTACTTAGAAGAATGTTTTCTATCGTTTGTTTTTTGTTGTCACGATACACTTTGAATCATGTGCATGACTTATTCTTATTATTCTTACTACTTATCGATTTGTCTATCATTTGATTACTCATTCCCACGTGGTTGTGTATGTTTAGTTCTAATCGTACAGTGCGCACTATTCGGAGATTAAGTATGAGTGTTACTGACATCATACAATCGAAAAGAAACGCACGACTTTATCCAATCAACTATAATAAATAAATAGATAAATAAACGTAAATACTGTAGTGAATAATTTCTATGTCAGGTATTCTTCTTAATTACATTAGGAGGGAGATACTCGAACTAATATTCATCATTTCAGTTTATATTGGGTCTATAAGGTTATCTTGTGGAATTAGAGGAAGTCTTAAAAGGCTTATTTTTAGAGTTCTTCGAAGTCAAGTTATAATTATTTTACTGAATTTTATCAATCCTACTTTAGGTATGTACTAGCAAAAAAAAACAATAACTAAAATTTTGATGTACAATTTTGCTCACAGGTAGATCTAATAAACTATTTAATATCCTGAAAGTTTCAACCGAAAAGAATTTATTATTGTTGAGATATTAAATTCCAAAAAAAAAACAAATAATTTTTTGCTACACACATGATTCAAAAATCGGGTTTACTTGAACAATTCAATATCTCAACAAAAGAACATTCTTTTCGGATTTTTTAGTACGTACCTAAAAAGCTGGATCACAAATTCAGTAAAACAATCATAACTCAGCTCTAAAAGTCCATAGAGATAAACTTTTTCAGACTTTTGTTAGTCTCAACAAGACATTCTTGTAGGTACATTATAACTCAAACGGTAGGTATCAGTCCAAGAGGTTTCTTTGTTAGTTATGGAAAAATAATTTTTATAGACATTATTAGAAAAGTGTGAGATGTCAGTGTGGCTTCTGTCTTTTTTTTGACCTAAATTCACACTCACATCTTCTCCTATAATTATTCATTTGACATTTTTCATTTCGATCAAGAAAACTTTCTCAACAAGTCGAAAGAGGCATTGCTGTAAACATAAAATATTGAAAAATGTTTTGAAAATTGTTTCATGCTGCAATTGATGAGTAGTCCTTGACAATCATCTACACATAAACAAATGCATCATAAGTTGGAAGTTTCCATTGCGACGAATAAAAGAAACAATGAATAATTATTGCGTAAAGATCAATTATCTTGCTTCAATATCAAAAGCAGAATATATTTGCAGAGAATTCAGTTATGTAACTCTAAAAGGTTATGAGTAAAACTTGCGTAAAAACCTATGACTCATCTATTTAATAGTCGAAATTTCTCATTATTGCACCTAACATGATTCATATTTTTTAATTTTTAGTTTTTTAAATGGTCGAAACCAAATGAAACTATGTGGACATTTGCATTCAGAGTATTCGAAAATTCTTCTACTGTAACAAAAAAATAATTCTGAAGGCTTGTTCCACCTATACGCTTGTTTACTTTAGATAGATTTCTCATCCTTATTCAGTGCTGTGTGGTGTATTCATCACACCAATCCGTGCGAACGCTGTTCAAAGTGAACTAGGACTCCTAAATTACTATTTTATAACAAAACAAAACAGAAATTTTCTTACGGTAATCTAGATTTTAGATTAAATGATATTAGCCGATAGCAATAAAACACCTTTGCTTGTTGGAAGACAAATATCGCTACTATCAACATGACAATTTTGAATTATATTGACAGAGGCGACACACTTTTATTTATTTCCGACAAACAAAATTCGTCACTTCCAGAATTGAAATATTAATTGCGTTGTTCAAATAATTACTAACCTTTTAAAGTACATTTTACTAATATATATAGCTAACATTTATCGTTATGATTTATTCTTTACATCTGTTAGGTTACGCCACATGTCGGTATTTTTTTGGTTCTATTTTTTACCAATCTTGTCTGATGGATCGGATGAATGATACTTACTCTTTCTTTTTCTTTTTCTTTCTGCCCGCCTACGCTTGGAAATTTCCAACTTGAAAAAGAGAGTACATTATATATTGGAATTTTCCAACACTTTCTACGTTTTTGTTTTGATGATCGAGGGTATACTAGAACCAGGTAGATGTATAAAATTCTATATAAGTAATGTACCTTTCTTTGGTACCATTCAAATCGATTTTAGCCAAGTTTTAAGGCATATGACAATATGAAATTTTATTACATAATCAAAAAAAAAAATAGTTACGCATTTTTTTCTATTCCTTAGGCAAGAACTCGAACTTTCGGACAAGAGGTTATTTGGTGTTTATAAATTTTGCACTAGAGTATTATAAGTGTTAAAAGTGTAAAATTTGAGTTCGAAGTGAAACGAGCACAGAATCATTAGAAGAGGTAGAATTAATTTCAAAATAGCAATTTTGAGTTTGAATAAGTGAGTGTAGTTTTCTGTATCACGATCACGATTGAGACAAAAAAGAGCACAGAAAAGTTTTTTACTACACTATTTTCGAACGAGGTTAGATGAATAACTCGAGTTGAAGATTTCGTTAAGAATTTTCTTCTCTTCAAAATACCGTTTAAGATGCGATAATAGAACGATCTTCGGCAGAGAAAAATGCGGCATTTTTCTCTGCCGAAAATCGTTCTATCCTTATGTCTTAAATGGTATTTTGAAGAGGAGAAAATTCTGAACAAAACCTTCAATTCGAGCTGTTCATCTAACTTCATTCGAAAATACTGTTGTGAAGAATTTTTCCTTTTTTTATGGTTACGATCTTGATTGTAATGCAGATTTCTAGCTGAGTATTGGAAAATAGTCTTTTTGTTTTAGAATGACAAAAATAAAAGGTATAGTTCTAGGAAATAGTAAATAATATCTTTTTGGTGAAAAACGTTTCGTAATCAATTGTAAGAATGATCGCTCGTTCGTTTTTTGTATGAGATGTCAGATTGTTTTCAGCATTCCATACTTCGCATTGCATTTCATAGTCCAATGAAATTCAAATACCATCTAGGGTAGATTCGATTCTTCCGTTTTTATGCTTCAAGAGATAGTTAATGAGATTAGTTGAATAATTTAAATCTACTCGAAACTTCCAAGGAACCAAAAATTATATATTTATATATTAGATTTTTTTCAGATTTTACCTACTATACAACTAATATACAATGTCAACCTTATCCAGACTGCCAACTGATGTTCTGAGTGATCCATCTCATAAATTCGAATCCATGGATGCTTCATCAAAATTGTGTGTTAAGAAGAAAGAAGATTCACCAACTTTGGCTAGTATCCGCCATCGAATTCAATCATTAGCTAAATTAACAAAAAGACTAGGCGTTTACACTGTATGCCATATGTTTGCCGCCGGATTTGAATATACAGGTAATGGAGATACAACTCGTTGCAAGGACTGTGGACTTGAGGTATCTAACTGGAGATCAGATATGAATCCATTTACTATTCATTCAAAACAGAGACCTGATTGTCCATTCATCTGCACTATAATACCATCTTCGTTGTCAAATGTACCTGCCTCTTCCGTTTCGTCAACAACTACTGTTCGAAACACGTCGATATCAAATGAACAAGGGAATCCTTCTAAACGCCAAAGGATCGAAACAATTGATTCAGAATCTGTCTCAAACAGTTTACTTGAAACAAGTTTACTTCAACAAGTGCGGAGACGCACATTTTCTCACTGGCCACATCGTACTATTCCATCAAGTGCACAAATGATGGAAGCTGGATTTTTTAATTGCAATGTTGGTGATCGAGTAATATGTATTTATTGTAATCTTATTTGTCAACAATGGACACCACATACAGATGATCCATGTGAAGTACATAAAACACTTTCATCTAATTGTATATATGTCAAAGCCAAATTGATACGTCCTTCAGCTTCATCTATAATAATCGTCAATGAAGGTACAACGAGTGCAAGTGGAGATAATCGTTTATCAACATCTCATAATCTCGGTCCCTTACGATCTAATGATATTGTATTTACAGCTTCATGTAATCCAGCTTATTCAGAAATACCAAAACGTCATGCATCATTTGCAACATGGCCAACCGAAGATTTACCATCAGTAGATGATTTAGTTCGAGCAGGATTTTTTTATACAGGTACGAAAACTATTGTTACTTGTTTTTATTGTAATGGATCATTACAAAATTGGGGTCCAAATGATAATCCAATGATTGAACATGCACGTTGGTTTCCACATTGTGCATATGCTCGACAATTATGTGGTGATGATTTATATCGAAAAATTCAAGAATCTAAACGAGCACAACAAGGTATGTTTTGAAAAATTATAAAAATTTAATCCTTTTTTTTTGTTTTTATGTCTAGAACGTGCTCGTGCCAATGAATTAAAAGAAAGAACAGGTTCTGGTGAGGTGGTAACTACTAATCCAACATCCAATAGTCGACTATTATTAATACCCGATGAAAGTACTTTATCGAGACTTGTTGCTGCTCGATTAGATTTACCAATATCACAACGTTTATTAGATCAAAATTTTAAATTATCAATTATTAAACGATGTTGGGAAGATCAATTACGGATAAAACGTGAGTAAATAAAATAAAATAGTAGAATTTTTCGAACATTAGTTTCTTTTTGTAGATGATGACTTTGTATCTGAATGCGATTTGTATATCGCTTGTTTAATTCTTCAAAAACAAATTGAACATATTGATGGTAAAAAAGAGAACATTGTTATACCAAGTATAAAAATGAAACAAATTCGAGAACAAAATGGTAAGATTCACATAGGAATATTTGCAACATCTACTTTTTCATTTTTGTTGAAGCACGAATACATGAACAGCCAACAACAATATCTAATACAGCTCAATTAGTACCAAATTCATCAGATGTTGAAATGACAACATCATCTCAATCATTAACAAACGAATCGACATCTTCTCAATCGTCAATTGATTCAACATCAAAATCAACAACCAGTGGTAATGAACGTGAAACAAAAACAACTAAACAAACAAGTACTGTCAATGATCAAAACCAATCAACTAATGCAACACCATCCAATCCATGTGTTCTTTGTTTGACAGAAGAAAAGCGATTAGCTTGTATACCATGCGGGCACATGGCAACATGTGTCGCATGTGGTCATTCATTACGATCATGTCCAATATGCAGAAGAGAAATCGAAGCATTCGTTAGAATATATATCTAACGAAAAATCGATTTGGTTATTGCCAACTGGCATTATTATTATATCATTATTGTCAAATAATAAAGATAAGAAGATCAGTTATGTTGCAATAGTATTCACAAGCAGGATGAAATCTTATATTTTTGATATATTTTTGTTTTGTTTAATTTTGGACTTGTTATTGTTTTTGAACGTTATCACAACTGGTTAATGTTATAATAAATATCTGCAAAAATGAACTCTACATTATTAATATCGATGATAAACTATTCGAACTAAATTAGTGGTTCTATAGTTTTTTTTTTTATGTAAACATTTTTTGTTCTAAGTTTCTTCTATTCTGGCAATAAATATTCACCAGAGTATTGTTTGTTTGTCTGCGAAATAAAATATAGATGAATATCAAATTTATTTTTAACGACTGAAAATACTAAGTCAATCATGTGCAATAGAGATTCTAATTATTTTTGTTGTAGAAAATTTATTTAATTATATAAATGCCTCGATATCTACTTTTTTATGCTCATGAACTGATCGAATTTCGTCTATCTGTGAGTAGTGATCAATAAGACGAAGGATATAATATAATTCTTTGTTTTTTTTTCTTACCTTGAAACATTATAGGAATTATTCAGTTTGGCTGAAATGTTTGGTTTTCGTGAGAGTATGACAATTGAAAGAAAACCAGATCAGGTGTGTGTGTATCTGTAAATGAAATGAGATTTTTCATAAAATATTTCAATTCTAGGATCCATTTTTATTATGTACATTTTCCAATATCGATCATCTCAAACTATATTCATCACGATCGGTTTTGTTAAAGTGAGATTTACAAAAAAAAAACTAATTACTTTAATTATGATAACTAGAACAAATCCGAGAAAATATTCAATAATCTAAAATAATTTTCTAGTGTATGGGGTTTAACAAAATATATTTTACAATGCTGATCGAATTTTGTTCTTTTTTTTTATAAATAACGTATATTATATAGATCTGCTTATGAATATTGGACACATGGATCATCACTGATAGATGTTGTTGATAAATTAACTGTACATTCCAATTGGGTAAAT